CAAAAACATTAAAGTTATAATTCTGGTATTGTCCCAGTTTTGTGATTAAATCTTGGTCCAGTCCTGGTTCAGTCCCGGTTTAGTCCGAGTTAAACCTTTTTTTTGCTCTGGTTTTGTGTTTAGTTTGTGTTTTTATCTCTTTTCCTGTACAGTAAAGTATCTTGTGTATCTCGTGTCCTCGTTTGACCTCTTTCTTCCGCGTGCGCATTTGTTGTCTTTTATCCAGCACGCGCGCAAGATGAAACTGTTTCCGTTTGCGCGTTTTGCTTAATTTTTCGCCAAATCTCGCGTGTTTAGTAGATTTTTTTGTGTGTGTGTGTTATTTTGGTGTTTTTTGTTCGCGCAGACAGAGGGGAGGTCGGATTGATCGGTGTTGTTTTGGTTTTGGAGCCGGAGCGGAGTCATGGTCGTGGGAAAGATGCGGTCCACTCGGAAACTGCGCGCATGGATGGTGGAGCAGGTGAGTTCTCGCGAGATTTCACCGTAAATAGTCTTTAGTGTTTGGTCCTGGTTTAGTTCTGGTTCAGTCTTGGTTTAGTCCTGGTTTAGATCTAGTTTAGACCTGGTTTAGTCCTGGTTTAGTCCTGATTTAGTCCTGGTTCAGTTCTGGTTCAGGTCTGGTTTAGTTCTAGTTTAGTCCTGGTTTAGATCTAGTTTAGACCTGGTTCAGTTCTGGTTTAGTTCTAGTTTAGTCCTGGTTTAGTCCTGTTTTAATCCTGGTTTAGTTCTGGTTCAGTCCTGGTTTAGACCTGGTTTAATCTTGGTTTAGTCCTGTTTAGTTCTGGTGTAGTCCTAGTTTAGGCCTGGTTTAGTCCTGGTTTAGTCCTGGTTTAATCCTGGTTTAGTTCTGGTTTAGTCCTGGTTTAGTTCTGGTTTAGTCCTGGTTTAGTTCTGGTTTAGTCCTTGTTTTAGTCCTGGTTTAGTTCTAGTTTAGTTCCGGTTTAGTCTTGATTTTAGTCCTAGTTTAGTCCTGGTTTAGTTCTGGTTTAATCCTAGTTTAGTTCTGGTTTAGTCCTAGTTCAGTCCTGGTTTAGTCCTAGTTTGTCCTGGTTTAGTCCCAGTTTAGTCCTAGTTTAGTTCTGGTTTAGTCGTAGTTTAGTCTTGGTTTAGTCCTGGTTTAGACCTGTTTTAGTCCTGGATTAGTTCTGGTTTAGTCCTGGTTTAGTTCTGGTTTAGTCCTAGTTTAGTCTTGGTTTAGTCCTGGTTTAGTCCTGGTGTAGTCCTGGTTTAGTCCTAGTTTAGTCTTGGTGTAGTCCTGGTTTAGACCTGTTTTAGTCCTGATTTAGTCCTGGTTTAGTTCAGGGTCCTGGTTAAGTCGATGTTATTGAGTAAACACAAGGTGGATATGTTTAAGAAAAGTGACACTTTGCATCTTTAGTTGTCTGGGTGGGCGGGGCTTGTTACCGTGGTGATTCTGAACCAAACGTCTTTCCGCTCAAACTTAAACCTGGGACTTGGTTTTGTTTTTCCAGGTGAACAGCGGGAAATATCCGGGCGTGGTTTGGGACGACGAGGAGAAGACCATGTTCAGAATTCCCTGGAAACACGCCGGAAAACAGGACTTCCGGAAAGACGAGGACGCCGCCATCTTTAAGGTCAGAGGTCGAGGGAAACGATTCAATCGGGAACGAAACGGGAACGAAACTGACCCCGAAGTGAACTCCAGTCAAATCCTGTCAGTTCCTCATTCATAAATAATCACCACGATTATAGAAACAAAACCAAAGATAAACCAGGACTGAAACCAGGTCTGAAAAAAAGATCTAAACCAGGTCTAAACTAGGTCTAAAATAAAGGTCTAAACCAGGTCTAAAAACCAGATCTAACAACCATATCAATGTCAGGTCTGAAAAATGTCTAAACCAGGTTTAAAAAACAGATCTAAACCAGGTCTAAAACCAGGACTAAACCAGGTCTAAACCAGGACTAAAACCAGGTCTAAACCAGGTTTACACCAAGTCTAAACCAGATCTAAACCAGGCCTAAACCAGGTTTAAAAACCAGATCTATACCAGATTTAAACCAAATCTAAACCAGGTTTAAAAAACAGATATAAACCAGGTCTAAACCAGGACTAAACCAGGTTTAAAAAACAGATCTAAACCAGATCTAAACTGGGTCTAAACCAGGTTTAAAAACCAGGTCTAAACCAGGTTTAAAAACTAGATCTAAAACAAAATGTCTAAACCAGGTCTAAAGAAAAAAGAGGTCTATGTTTGAACGAAACAAAAAGTAAACCAGATCTAAACCAGGTCTAAAAACAGATCTAAAACCAGGTGTAAAATCAGGTGTAAAAGTCAGCAGCATATCCTCCTTTTTGTCTGTTGTCCTTGTTTCTCCGTCTCTCTGATTACCTTAGTCCTTCATTACCTTAGTCTCTCAGATTATGGTTCAGGTTCTCAAAGCTCCATAAAGGCCCACATCTTTTCAGATTTTTTAGAGAGTTTCTTTGTATAATGACAGTTGTTTTATGCATTTGTGGGCGGAGTTTCGATGGTTGTTTTTTTACATTTGTGGGTGGAGTTTCGGTGTATAATGACGGTTGTTTTTATACATTTGTGGGCGGAGTTTCGGCGTATAACGGTGGTTGTTTTATACATTTGTGGGCGGAGTTTCGGTGTATATTGACGGTTGTTTTTATACATTTGTGGGCGGAGTTTCGGTGTATAATGACGGTTGTTTTTATACATTTGTGGGCGGAGTTTCGGTGTATAATGACGGTTGTTTTTATACATTTGTGGGCGGAGTTTCGGTGTATAATGACGGTTGTTTTTATACATTTGTGGGCGGAGTTTCGGTGTATAATGACGGTTGTTTTCATACATTTGTGGGCGGAGTTTCGGCGTATAACAGTGGTTGTTTTTTACATTTGTGGGCGGAGTTTCTGTGTATAATGATGGTTGTTTTTTTGCATTTGTGGGCGGAGTTTCGGTGTATAATGATGGTTGTTTTTTTGCGTTTGTGGGCGGAGTTTCGGTGCATAATGACAGTTGTTTTTTTGCGTTTGTGGGCGGAGTTTCGGTGTATAATGATGTTTTTTATACATTTGTGGGCGGAGTTTCGGTGTATAATGATGGTTGTGTTTTTGCATTTGTGGGCGGAGTTTCGATGGTTGTTTTTTACATTTGTGGATGGAATTTCGGCGTATAATGGTGATTGTTTTTTGTATTTGTGGGCGGAGTTTCAGTGTATAATGTCGGTTGTTTTATGCATTTGTGGGCGGAGTTTCGATGGTTGTTTTTTATATTTGTGGATGGAGTTTCAGCGTATAATGATGATTGTTTTTTGCAGGTGTGGGCGGAGTTTCGGTGGTTGTTTTTTGCATTTGTGTGCAGAGTTTCAGCGTATAACCGTGATTGTTTTTTGTATTTGTGGGCGGAGTTTCGGTGTATAACCATGATTGTTTTTTGCAGGCGTGGGCGGAGTTTAAAGGCAAACTGACGGACGAGGAGCTGAATAATCCGGCGTCGTGGAAAACCCGTCTGCGCTGCGCCTTAAACAAAAGCCCAGAGTTCTGCGAGGTGAATGATCGCGCTCAGCTGGACATATCCGAACCGTACAAGGTCTACAGACTGGTGCCCGTCACCGAGCAGAGTGAGTGTGGCCCTCGGTTTTATTTTTGGAAGTCATTTATCACTGTTTGCTATCAACAGGGTTCAATGTTTACAGATACAGGTAAAATAAAACGATTAAATAAACCATCACATTCAAACATAACCTTACCTCAGACAACATCAACTGACTGGAAGCTCTGTCTATTTTGCCAACAAAGTAAACAATCCAAAAAAGAAACACCATTCTCTGTCAAGACTTTTGAAATCAGTCAACAAATAACTGAGGGAGCAAAGTGTGATTATCGTCTTTCTGTACGTGAGGTGTTGAGAGCTGCTGAGGGCAAGAACCATACCAGCTTTTACAAGACTTTTCTAAGACGAGCATCACAATCAAGAGGAGAAGCAAACGATGAGGAAGGAAGAATAGTAATGTGGTAGATTAATGCCTTAAGGAAGTCTAACAGAAAGAGATATTTACTGTGTTTTTTGGAGTATGTCGCACCAGCCAAAAAATGTGTAATGAAGAAGAAAAAACTTATATAATTGGCACTTTTTGGAGGAAATGTATTTTATAAAATGAGAGACACGGAGCAGACATTTCCTTTTGAAAGTCAAGTTATAGTAAAAACAATAGAAGAGAGAACAACAGACTGTTAACGTCACATATTTCACAGTTCTTCAGATAAACTATAACATAAACAACAGAACAGAACAAGTTTTACCGAACTCTCCATCTCACTCCAAATCACTAAATCCATTCGATTCTTCATCCTCGGTGTCACTTCTGAACAACTCGGCCTCGACCTCCGGAGGTAAATGGAGCACCGCATCAGTTCCAGTTAGAATTATTCGGGCCTTTCTGAATCCCGACAGGATGATTTCGGTGTCACTGAAGTCCAGACTTTGTCCATCCATCCAGTGACTTCAGGAAAGTTTCGTGGTGCATCCTCCCGGTGTCACAAGTTTCTCTCTCACTCCAAACTTTCTTTCTGCTGCTCGATTTCACGACTTGCAGTTTGTAATCTGCAAAATCTGATTTTGTTTTTGGGGGCATTTGTGTTCAGTCTTCTCAGTCTTTGTCTTTATAAGTTTGTTTAAATGTTAAATTGTTCAGTGGTGCAGAAGTAACGGTGCGATCGACTGACATGATACAGACAGGACAGAGGCTCTTTCTGCAGGAGACATGTGCAGTAGAGCCAAGTGACAGTGGTGCAGGAGGAACAGGAGCAGCAGATCCTCACACACAAGACTAGAACCTCTCCACACTTCAACAAAAACATTTTAATATAGAAGTCACACTGATGGAAACACCCAAACCATGAAAAAAGTGACACTTATAGTCACGAAAAATACGGTACTCACTACTGCTCACTTGCTGCTGAAGAAGGTGTTGAAATCCCACAGTCGTATTCTCAGTCGTATATTGATGTTCAAGGAATACACTGAGCCTCATGTCAGTAACTTCTAAAAACTACGAAATGAAGAGATTACAGAGCGGTTAACAGTGCTTCTGCCAACTGAGTTTGCGCATATTTCAGTGTCTGAATTATTGACTGAAGGAAGGGATGCTGAGGATGATGAGTATTTGATACCCGTCTACAGGCCTGACACGGAAGATGGTGCATTTGGCTCGACAGCTTCGCTCAGATATACTGACACAGCCGGGACACGAAAGCCTTAAAGGGACAGTTCGGAATTTTGGACATAGAACCTAATTTCCTCGTGATCCAGAGTGTTGGAGACGTGTGGAGACACTTTTTGAAATATTCCATCCAGTCCTTGTATTTGCAGAGGTCACTGGTGTTAGACTAGTGAATGTCAATGGTCATAGTTTATCCTGCCACTAAAAACTGTCTTACCCACTCCACAAAACACCCCAAACAAATCTATTATTACACCAGACTGTCCATGTGAATGTCTGTGTCCATAGAATAATTTTAGAAGTAAAACTAACCTCGTATCGCATGAATTGTCGCCCGTTGAGGGACTATTTTCTCAGCAGCAGTGGAGTTTTACTCTGCTCTAGTTCATTGTGATGATGTGAACGTGGACAAATATGGAACAGGCTTCTTCATGTGCTCTGTGTGTCGCTATGGCAACTGCAGGTAAACAAACTATTACAGAGCCGCTAAGGCTACGTTCAGACTGCAGGGCTTAACGCTCAATTTGGATTTTTGTGAAATTCGATGTTTTTTCGAGGTCGTTCACATTTCCAATTAAATGTGACTTGTATGTGACTCCAGTGTGAACATTAAACGGCCCAAAAGTGTCCCACATGTGACACTGGAGACACGACGACGTCAACCACAGCGAGCGTCTCTGTGTTTATGGAAGTTGTCCAAACATGAACGCAGCATTGAGCACCTGGAGATTTTAAAGTCGTGTTTCATGTGCTCTATGTGTCGCTTCGGCAACTGTTACAGAGCCGCTAAGACACGTGCAGGTGATGTGAGTCTGCCACTGCCGAGGTCTCTGTCAAAGTAAAACTCACTGCTGCTCACACATAAATCCTTCAAATACAAGGTTAGTTTTACTTCAAACATTATTCTATGGACACAGACATTCACTTGGACAGTCTGGTGTAATAATAGATTTGTTTGGGGTGTTTTGTGGAGTGGGTAAGACAGTTTTTAGTGGCAGGATAAACTATGACCATTGACATGCACTAGTCTAACACCAGTGACCTCTGCAAATACAAGGACTGGATGGAATATTTCAAAAAGTGTCTCCACACATCTCCAACACTCTGGACCACTAGGAAATGAAACCCTTTATCCAAAATTCCTGACTGTCCCTTTAATGTTTCTAAAGAGAATGTAAAAGCATCACATTATGACTCCTGCTCAAACTTGTTTTCTTACCTTAATTCCGTGCAATATGTTAAGAAAGCATCATATTAAGGACTCCTGGACTATTTTAACACTCAAATGTGAATTTTGAGACCAGTGCTATTTTGTTTTATTGATTACTTTAGAAATACATTTTTACAAAATAGAAAAAACAAGTCCCATATTAATATTCATATTAATATTCAAATTAGGAGGGTTAGAAGTCAAAATCCAGCTTGGTAAACAAAATATTCAGAATCAGCACCCTTCAGACTTCAGGTCTATAACGCCCTTTTGTTCTTTTGTTTGTGTCGTATTCATGCAAAATCAAATACGGCTACGGAAACGTCGCTGGTTTATTTTGGGTGTGGGTTTGTGAGAATAAAATGTTCGTGTTAAATTTACTTTATGCTGTGACAAATGAGAAAAGAGAAGTGAAAAACACAAACCACAGCCCAGTTCATAGAGTCACATGTACTTAATAATACTTTTTAAGTTCCTGTATCACACCGTGCTGACTCTCGTGAGGTTTAAGTCGTGCTCTAATGTTTTCCCCTCCTCAAAAAACAGACCTGGAGAACAAAAAACCACAACTCCAGGTCTAGTCCAATGAGGTTTATTTGGTTTTCCGATAATTTATGTTTTAAGGTTCTTTTTTCAGCTCACTACAGCCAGGGAAGTAATAAAAAGCAAAGTGGAAAATGGTGTAAATTAAGTACTAATTGAATGAACAGGGATGTAAAAGGCAAAATATCAAAAGTGGGCTAAAATATAAACACAAAATAACCTAAACTAAGAAACCTGGTTGTAATTGTTGATGAGCTGAACATAACCGAACGCTACAATCACATGGAGATGAAGAAAACTGGAACATTTTCAAATTTTTCCTACATTTTGTCAGACTTATACTGCGTTCGATTTTCTTCCGACTCCCCCTTGGACCCGGGATTTGACGTCACGTCCGAGCTTGAAGCGCATTATTCTTTTTCACGTGTCGGACTCTGTGACTATTCCCTCATCTTATGAAAACACCGACACTTTAATGAATTACATTTTTGGAATTTCACTTCATTTTATGGTATGATTTCTCTTCCGTTTCAACTTCAGGGATGTTAACGCCCGGTCATCCTGGTTTGTGATGTAATGTGAATAGAGCGTATTGGCCTGGTGTAGACATGCCCCACCAATCAGGGACCAGAATCCAGAGCAGGCCACCAATCAGGGACCAGAATCCAGAGCAGGCCACCAATCAGGGACCAGAATCCAGAGCAGGCCACCAATCAGGGACCAGAATCCAGGGCAGGCCACCAATCAGGGACCAGAATCCAGAGCAGAGCACCAATCAGCTGCAAGGGCTCCCACTGCAGAAATGAATAGGGACATAAAAAGAAATTAGGGGTCCTGGGTCCAGAACACAGACCCAGAGTTTGTTTTCATCCTGACAGTTTGTTCTGCTCCGTGACGTGTCCGATCGGCTGATTTAAACAGGTTTTGGCGCTGTCTTCCTCCCGACAGCGCCACCTGCAGACACACTTCCTCAGGACACAATCCCGAGTGTGTGAGAGTAAAAAAGCCCCTCGAAGAAGCGCAGAGGGCAAAGAGAAAACACAACACACCAGTGAAACCGAACAGAAAACTCAGGCAATTACTCGTCCATCCAAAAGATAAAACAGAACCGGAGCATAAATGTAACATAATAAACGAAACAACCTGCGTGTCCTGCAATAAAACGAACATCGAGGAAACAGGGAGGATGTTCAGAAAACGGAAAAAGGAACATACTTGTAGGACAGAACGCAAGCAACAAAACAAAGAACAAAACAGAACAGGAACAAATCAGATCGTCCGTTTGTGACGCTGTAAAAGAGAGAAGCACATTCTGGACTGAGACGCAGCAAATGTCACTCGGACGGAGAATAAAAAACATCAAAATACAGAAACATGCCCACGGGACGATAAATCTGAACTGTCGGCTATGAAAACAAATAATAATTAATGTTTTTGTTTAATTCTCAGGTTTGTCGTCTCCTGAAAAGAAGATTCACGAGAGGAGCGGACGAAAACAGAAACGAAGGAGCTCAAACCAAAGTGGACCTGAACTTAAACACATCAAAACGGAAGAGCACAGTCCAGAGACCAGCCTCCAGGTCTGGACCAGGACCAGACCAGGACTGAGCCAGGACTGAGCCAAAACCCAACCAGAACAAGGACCAGGACTAAAGCGGGACTGGACCAGGATTAAACAAAGACATAACAGGACTAAACCAGGACTATACCAGTACAAAACCTGGACTGACCTAGGACTGGAATATACGGAAGCCGAGAGGGGTCAAAACAAACGCAAACGCCGCAACAAATACAAATGCGACAACACAACAAAAAGTCACAACAAAACAAAAAAAGCGAATAATAATAAAACAATAAATTACTTTTACTTACGTTTCCAACTTCTCCATTCCTTTACTTTTCACGTTGTAGTTCTTCTTCTTCACTTGCCGCTTGATCGGTCCGTCAGAAAATAGAGTCCCGTTGGCTTTTTGATGTGTTGTGGCTTTTTGATGTGTTGTGGCTTTTGCATTTGTTGCGGCGTTTGTATTAAAATAGAATCCCACGATCATTTCTGTTTTTGGCTTTTTTTGGTTTGTTGTGGCTTTTTGTTGTTTGTTGTCGTATTTGTATTTGTTGCGGCGTTTGCGTTTGTTGTGACCCCTCTCGGTTTCTGTAGGAACAGGACTGGACCAGGATTAGAACAGGACTAGCTCAGTACTAAAACAGAACTACGTGGACTAGCCCAGAGGTCACCAACACGGGGCCCGTGGGAACCAGGTCGCGTCTGTTCTTTTTTTAATCACCCTTGTGTTTTTATAGATTTAGAAATGACAATATCTTAAAAATATATTTGTTATACATGAAGTTTAAATAAGAGATTTAGATGAGCAGCTGTTTTTCTCAGATCTTATCATTTATGCAAATGATTCATGTGGTTTGAAGTTTTGTTAGTGTAAAACGTAAACAAATGTGTCAAAGCTGCTTTAAACACATAATAAACTCACTCCTTACGCTGGTTAGAACCTTCTGAGCTTCCGACGCTGTTTGTTTTTTTTCTGGTTTATTAAATATATAATTTTTGCACTTGCAGATTTGGAAGATTATGTCAAGAAACAGAGACAGTGCATTTATACTCAGGGACACTGATGCCTGTAAACAAACTCAGAGAAGCAATGATGATAATTAACACTGTACTTAAAAATGTAACAATTACTGAGCTGAATAAAGTCAAAGTGCTGAATATTGATCTGTTTCCCCCTCACTGTCATTGTTGATCATTATTGTGAGAAATCATGAACGGGATCAGTGTCTTCACATAGATAATTATCGTTTAATCAGTGTTAATAATGTAAAACTAAAGACAAACAGAGCACTTTTGTTATTTGAGAAGAGCGAATCAAACTGTAGCCCTTCGTTTGACTCAGTGTCCATGAAGTAGCTCTCAGTTTCAAAAAGGTTGGTGACCCCAGGACTAGACCAGGACTGAGCCACGACCGGACCAAGACTGGACCAAGACTGGACCAAGACTGGACCAGGACTGGACCAGAACCTTCACTGATCTTAACTGGGTCTAAATCTGGACTAAGATGTTATATTAAAATCTCTTTTGTGTTTCTCTAGTTTACCGAAGTGTTTTTACCGAGTGAGATTCCAGTTCAGAGCGAAGAGACGGTGACGAACCACATCCCCCGACCCTCCGAAGGTTCGCTCCATACAATAACAACAACAACAACAACAACGACAACAACACCAATGACACCAACAACACCAATGACAACAACACCAATGACACAACAACAAATGACAACACCAATGACACCAACAACAATGACAACAACACCAATGACAACAACACCAATGACACCAACAACAACAACACCAATGACAACAACACCAATGACAACAACACCAATGACACCAACAACAACGACGACAGTGACACAGACAATGACACCAACAACAATGACAACAACAACGACACAGACAATAACAAAAACAACCACAACAGCACTAACAACAATGACAACAACACCAACGACACGGACAATAACACCAACAACACCGACAACAACGTCACCGACAACAACAACACCGGCAACAACAACGAAACCGACGACAACAACACCGACAACAACAACACTGACAATAACACCAACGACACAGACAATAACAAAAACAACCACAACAGCACCAACAACAATGACAACGCCAACGACACGGACAATAACACCAACAACAACGACGACAATGTCACCGACAACAACACTGACAATAACAGCGACAACGACAACAACACCAACAAGACTGACACTAATGACAACGACAACAACAACGACAAAGACAACAACAACGACACCGACAACAACAGCAACAACAACACAACAACAACACCGACAACAACACGACACCACAACAACAACCGACAACAACAACGACACCGACAACAACAAGACACCGACAACAACAACACCAACAAGACTGACACTAATGACAACGACAACGACAAAGACAACAACAACGACACCGACAACAAGACACCGACAACAACACCAACAAGACTGACACTAATGACAACGACAACAACAACGACAAAGACAACAACAACGACACCGACAACAACACTGACAACAACAGCAACAACGACACCGACAGCAACAATGACACCGACAACAACAACGACACCAACAACAACACCGACAACAACAACGACAACGACACAACAACGACACCAACAACAACACCGACAACAACAACGACACCGACAACAAGACACCGACAGCAACACCAACAACATTAACACCGACGATGACACTGATGACAATGACAACAACAACAACAACACCAACACCAACAACGCTCAAACTGAAAATACAAACATACAAACATGAGCAGGAAAATATAAAATCACATATATGTTTAGAGAAACTTGAACTTCCAGAAAATCACTCACACTTTTAAAGCGATTAAAGCAGGACTAAAACAAGGCACGGGGAGGGCACCTGACGCACATGGAGGGCACCTGACGCACATGGAGGGCACCTGACGCACGGGGAGGGCACCTGACGCACGGGGAGGGCACCTGACGCACGGGGAGGGCACCTGACGCACGGGGAGGGCACCTGACGCACGGGGAGGGCACCTGACACATGTTTAGTGAAAGTTTTCCTTTTTTCTTCAGAGGTGGACGAGATCACTCTGGACGTCCGGATTGAGGAGAGTGTCCCATCGGCTCAAACAGGTCAGAACACAACACCAGCTCTGGAGCCTAAAACCTGGACTAAACTAGAACTAAACCAGGACTAGGTCTAAACTGGGACTACTGGTTACCTCTACCGACTTACCTCTAAACAAGGCAACAATAAACAAGGATGAAAACTAAGACAAAACCAGGACTAAACCAAGTCTAAGACTAAAACACAGTCTAAACCAGGTCTACAACAGATCTAACCCAGTTCTAACTCAGGATTAAACTTGGTTTAGACCAGGACTAAAGCAGGGCTAAACCAAACTTAAACCCTACAGCCAGACTGTTGTGTAAAGTAGTGTAAACCAAATCTAAACAAGGATAAAACCTGGTCTAAACCCGGTCTAAACCTGGTCTAAATCTGGTCTAAATCTGGTCTAAACCCGGTGTAAACCCGGTTTAAACCAGGTCTAAACCAGGTCTAACTCAGGACTAAAAATAGGATAAAACCTGGTCTAAAGCTGGTCTAAAGCTGGTCTAAAGCCGGTCTAACTGAGGTCTAACTCAGGTCTAACTCAGGACTAAAATTAGGATAAAACCCGGTCTAAAGCCGGTCTAAACCTGGTCCAAACCCAGTCTAAACCCGGTCTCTCTTCTGGTCCAGGCGCAGACTCTTTCCGTGTGGTGGTGCAGTATCTGGGGCAGGAAGTCGCCCGGCAGCAGGTCTGTAGTTCGGACGTTCGGATCCAGTACCTGCGCTCCACGCTCTGCCCTCCCTCCGCCGTCCCGCAGGGGGCGCAGTTTCCCCGCGTGCCGCTGCCCGAGCCGGGGCCGAGCCTGGGCCAGGGCGAGGAGCTGGCGGCGCTGCACACGCTCCTGCCGTTCATGGAGAAGGGAATCCTGCTCACGTCCACCAAGAGAGGAGTGTACGGGAAGAGGTTCTGCCAGGGCCGGGTGTTCTGGACCGGACCGCACTCCGACGCCGGGCTGCACAAGATGGAACGAAACACAGAACCCGTCCTGCTCTTCTGCAAAGACACGTTCAAACAACGTGAGTCCAAGCACGGAACTAATCCAGGACTACAGCGGGACTACAGCAGGACTGAACCAGGACCAAACCAGGACTGAACTAGGACTAAAACAGAACTAAACCAGGAATAAACCAAGGACCAAACCAGGGACTAGATCGGGGCTAAAGTGGAACTAAAGTGGGACTAAACTGTGACTAAAACCAGGGACTAAACCGGGACTAAACCAGGGACTAAACTAGGACTAAACCAGGACTAAACCAGATACAAGACCAGAAGTAAAGAAGTACTAAACCAGGACTAAACCGAGATTAAATCAGGACTAAACCAGGGAGGGCATCTGAAGTGTCTAAACGGGTATTTGTTTATTTGTTTGTTTATTTGTTTGTTTGTTTATTTGTTTGTTCAGAGCTGGAGCTTTTCTGTTCAAACGGAGGAGATCGGCCTCAGTGCAGCTTCACTCTGTGTTTTGGAGAAGAACTGAGCGAGACCGAAGATACGACCAAGAAACTCATCATAGTACAGGTACTACTACTACTACTACTACTACTACTACTACTACTACAGTATCAGTATTTGTAGTAAAAGTCCTCCTGTGTCCTGTCAGATCTCGCTGCCGTGGGCCGAGCAGCAGGTGGAAAACTTCGAGTCCATCGTTCGATCCATAAACTTCCTCCAGACTCTGGCCGACCAGAGCCCCATGAGAGAGATCACCCTGGACCTGCAGCCCGTGGACTAGACCAGGACTGGAACCAGGACTAGACCAGGACTTAGACCAGGACCTTCCACGACCACACTAAACCTGGGACCACAGACTGAGGAGCGGGACGTCAGAGGTGGTTCAGAATTAGCACAGATCTTAGGCCAGCTCTTTCAAGATGCACCCAGACCCGGTTTGGTCTGGGGTTAGTCCTGACACAGACCCGGTTTGGTCTGGGGTTAGTCCTGACACAGACCCGGTTTGGTCTGGGGTTAGTCCTGATCCAGACCCGGTTTGGTCTGGGGTTAGTCCTGATCCAGACCTAGTTTGGTCTGGGGTTAGTCCTGACACAGACCCGGTTTGGTCTGGGGTTAGTCCTGACACAGACCCGGTTTGGTCTGGGGTTAGTCCTGACACAGACCCGGTTTGGTCTGGGGTTAGTCCTGATCCAGACCCGGTTTGGTCTGGGGTTAGTCCTGATCCAGACCTGGTTTGGTCTGGGGTTAGTCCTGACACAGACCCGGTTTGGTCTGGGGTTAGTCCTGATCCAGACCCGGTTTGGTCTGGGGTTAGTCCTGATCCAGACCCGGTTTGGTCTGGGGTTAGTCCTGATCCAGACCCGGTTTGGTCTGGGGTTAGTCCTGATCCAGACCCGGTTTGGTCTGGGGTTAGTCCTGACACAGACCCGGTTTGGTCTGGGGTTAGTCCTGATCCAGACCCGGTTTGGTCTGGGGTTAGTCCTGATCCAGACCTGCTTTGGTCCTGTTCTGGTCTCAGTTTAGTCACAAACATAAAGGTGCTCTATGTAACTTTTCTGGTGCTGCTTGTTTCCATGGAGATTTATTGTTTTGCCTGGAAAGTTCCACAGTACGACAAAGTTACAGGTCAGATCTGTGGAGTGGCAATCCTCCTCACTGATTGCTCGATTTGTTTTTAATCATCAATAATCATGTGCACATACACACGTTTATGTTTCTCCAACAGAAGCGTGAAGAAGAAAAACAAATTAAATCATGCAGGGTGTTTAATGCCACACTGTGGAATATTCCAGACAAAGTCATAATGTCTCCATGGAGACGAGTAACAGACCTCCATTGTAAAAATGACTTAGTGAAATATAAATATACCAAGTTTACATGAACAGAGATCAGAACAGAGACCAGACTGAAGCAGGACGTCGCACTGGGGGAGTTCTGCATGTACGTCTATGGTGCATCATTTGCCCCAATGTCAGAAATTCTACTTGGACTCAGTTTTAAAATGTAACAAAACCAATTAAAAGAAAATCTGTGGCATATTTGCTCTGAGTAAAATCTACTGGGTCCACTGAGCCTCTTGTGTTCCGTCCTAACAGCGCCATAAAGCTCAGTTTTTAAAATCAGTTTTTAAAATAACTTTAAAAATAATCCATTTATTGCCATGTGTCCATGAAAGTTGAATACTGTATAGATAAACATTTTATATCTCTATCTTCATAACTTTCTTAAGATTTCTAAGATGTCAATTTTGCCAAGATTTTGAGTGTTTTTTCGTAATCATCCAAAATCCACAAAGACCAAAGATGAAATGAGAGAATAAAGTTTGTTCTTTCTGTCGTGATCATAAACTGTATAAAAAAGTGGAGTAAGTGAGGGACGTCACCAAGTTTATAGAAAGAATAAGGATTAGAGATGTAACAATAACTGAAATATCATGATATCGTATCGTCAAAGTTCTCACAATAATATCCTGGACCATCACAATATATCGAATCACAAGTCTCTTTGTTTAAATGAAGAGTTAAAAACCAGGGGGAACTACATAGACCATGATCCTTTGCTCCATTTCAGCACAAACGCCAAGAAGAAATAACAGTTCTAACACTTTTAACTCTTAGTTCTTTGGATTAAGTCTTGTCAAGAGGAAAAAGTAGAGTATTCACAGTTTTAGATGTGTAACCTCCACAAAAGACAGAACAGCGCCCTCTGGTGGAGACGTGGGGCGAGAGAAAGAAACTGTTTACTCATTACTCAAACAGTAAAGTTGACACAATCTTGATACTACGGAATAGACTCGATACTCAATACCGATTCTGATACCACAATAATAAAAAATAAAAAAAAACACTCTTTCTTTAGACAATAGAATGTGATATTCAATACTTTCCTGTATTTTACTTCTGTGTCCTTCGGTGGTCCACGGGTCTTAAACTTACTCAAAATCATTCTAAAACTTCAGGAAAAAGGCTCATTTCTGTCCTGTTAACGGGACTTTTTTTAGTATTTTTTTTAGTTTCGATACTAGTTTTAGTGTCACAATAAATTTTGTATTGTGAGATGTTTATCATGAAAATGAGAGATTTGGATATTGTTACATCACTAATCATGAGCATCTTCATCATATCGTGAGCTTTCCCACGATATCGCAATAAATACTGTATCGTGAGGTTCATATCGTGACAGTATCGTATCGTATCGAGACATGTGGATATCGTTACACTCGTAATAATCATGTTATTAAAGAAAAACAGCTCAGATTTAAAGCTTCCGCAGACTTCAGAGGCTTGTGGATCCAGTAAACATCAAGAGAATTTCATGAAATTTCTCGAGGAAGTTTACTTTAGCAAGAGCAAAAAAATGATACTAGGTACATATTTATTTTCAAAAATGTTTTCAAAAAGTTGGGCAAATGATGCAGCCCTAACGTCTATGTCAGAATGTTCAGCAGCGGAGACACGAGCCAAACACTGATGAGGAAAGTTTTACGATGGAGCTCACCTGTTGTACTTCCATCTCAGTGAGCCAACGTCTGAGATTGAGTAGCAGGTTTCCAGACAGAGCAGTGCCTCCGTTTAGCGCCGCCCCCAGTGAGCGTTGACGACATCGGCTGGAAAGTGTCGTCGTCGGTGATGATTCTGAACCACGTGGCCCCAAACTCCAAACTGAAGACCCACTAAAGCGCTTGTAGTTCATGTTTGATTAAAAAAAAAAAACAACAACCCTGAATGCACTTTTTAACCTTATATATATGTGTCGTTATTGTTGTCGTTGTCATAGAAACAGAGTACTATGTTTGTGACAGGAAGCACTACATAAACCTGTGTATTTAAATGTTACATATTATAACTTTAAATATAAATCTTGGTACAAGTGTTTGTTTTTTGGTCGTCTCTTATTTAATACTATTTAAAAAATATATATATATATATTTGTGTCATTTTGGGGAAAACTTTAAAATACTTTGAGACAAGAACTGATCCTGGGTTAGTCCTGGTTTAGACCTAGTTTAGTCTCTGTGTAGTCCTGGTTTAGACCTAGGTCCAGGGTTAGTCTGGTCTAATTTAGTCCTGGTTCCTGGATTAGGCATAGTTTAGTCTTGGTGTAGTCCTGGTTTAGTCCTGGGTCCCGGGTTAGACCTGGTTGAGATCTAGTTCTTAGTTTAGTTTGTTACTAGTGTGGTCCTGGTTCCTAGTTTAGTCCTGGTTTAGATCTAGTTTCTGGGTTAGTCCCGGTTTCTGGATTAGATCTGGTTTAGATCTAGTTCCTAGATTAGTCTCTGTGTAGTCCTGGTTTAGATCTAGGTCCAAGGATAGTCCTGGTTTCTGGATTAGGCATAGTTTAGTCTTGGTGTAGTCCTGGTTCACGAGTTAGACCTGGTTTAGTCCTGGTTTAGTCCTGATTTAAATTTAGACTTTGTTCCTAGTGTAGGTCCTGGTTTAGTCCTGGTTCCTGGATTAGATCTGGTTTAATCTTGCTGTAGTCCTGGTTTAGATCTAGTTCTGGGGTTAGACCTGGTTTTGTCCTGATTCCTGGGTTAGACCTGGTTGAGATCTAGTTCTTAGTTTAGTTTGTTACTAGTGTGGTCCTGGTTCCTAGTTTAGTCTTGGTGTAGTCCTGGGCAAATCCTGGTTTAAATCTAGTTTCTGGGTTAGTCCTGGTTTCTGGATTAGACCTGGTTTAGATCTAGTTCCTAGATTAGTCTCTGTGTAGTCCTGGGCTAGTCCTGGTTTAGATCTAGGTCCAAGGATAGTCCTGGTTTCTGCATTAGACCTGGTTTAGATCTAGTTCCTGGGTTAGTTCCTGTTTAGTCCTGATTCCTGGGTTAGATCTGGTTTAGTCTTGGGTTAGATCTAGTTCCTGAGTTAGTTCTAGTTTTTGCATTATACCTGGTTTAGTCCTGGTTCCCGAGTTAGACCTGGTTTAGATCTAGTTCGTAGTTTCGTTTTGGTGTAGTCCTGGGTTAGACCTGGTTCAGTCCTGGATTAAACCTGATTCAGTCCTGGGTTAGACCTGGTTCAGTCCTGGGTCCTGGTTCAGTCCCGATAAAAGAGACAGAATGCAGTTTGACGTTAATTATTTTAATCTTTTATTAAATAATAAAAAAATCTTTACATTTGGGGACAGAACAGCGCCCTCTGGTGGAGACGTGGGGCGAGGGAAAGAAACTGTTTACTCATTTACTCAAACAGTGAAGTTGACACAATCTTGATACTACGGAATAGACTCGATACTCAATACCGATTCTGATACCACGATATTTAAAAAAAAACAAAAACAAAACACTCTTTCTTTAGACAACAGAATGTGATTTTCAGTACTTTCTTGTATTTTACTTCTGTGTCCTTCAGTGGTCCACGGGTCTTAAACTTACTCAAGATCATTCTAAAACTTCAGGAAAAAGGCTCATTTCTGTCCTGTTAACGGGACTTTTTTTTAGTATTTTTTTTTTAGTATTGATACGAGTCAAAAAGATTTAGTTTCGATACTAGTTTTAGTGTTGATTAGGATCAGATTTTCGTTACTTTGACCACCCTAACGGTCTTTACAGAAAAGTTTTTATTCATGCACAATCATCCGAGTCACCAAAACATGAATCTTGAAGCTCAATTTTTATTATTTTGAGACAGTTTGTTCCACTGTTTGTTTGTTTTTTAAGACTTTAAGGTTCCATCAGGACCAACTTCAAGATTTTCTGGATGTGATGGACAGAGGTGATGGACAGAGGTGATGGACAGATGTGATGGACAGATGTGATGGACAGATGGACAGAGGTGATGGACAGAGGTGATGGACAGAGGTGATGGACAGAGGTGACGGACAGAGGTGATGGACAGAGGTGATGGACAGAGGTGATGGACAGAGGTGATGGACAGAGGTGATGGACAGAGGTGATGGGGCAGGTGTTGAATTCTCTGTTAAAGCCCGGAGGTTCAGATGGTGCCGTTGGCGGGGCACGAGAGCTCGCTGATTTTGTGGTTCAGTTTCTGATTGGTCCAGTCCCGGGTGATGTCATCGAGGTGCGAGTCGAAATCCACGAGGGTCATGTGATCACCGGCGTCCAGGAGCTGCGACGCAACCGCCCTGGTCTCCTCCCACTGACGCATCATTATCCTGAAAGAACGTCAGATGTGTCAGACAGGGGCAGACAGGGGCAGGCAGGGGCAGACAGGAGCAGACAGGGGCAGACGGGAGCAGACGGGAGCAGACGGGAGCAGACGGGAGCAGACGGGAGCAGACGGGGGCAGACGGGGGCAGACGGGGGCAGACGGGGGCAGACGGGGGCAGACAGGGGCAGGTCTTACGTGTGCTTGTCTTTGAGCGTCCATCTTGAATCCTTGCGTTCGTACATGACGATGGGAGGAACCCTGTAATCTGCAGACATCTTACTGCCATCGAGCTACGGACAAAAGAAAAGATTTACTAAGAGAAAACATCAGAAGAACTAAAAATATGAGTCTACAGTCACAGACGCCGGGCGTATACGAGTCTACGGTCAGAAACACCGGGCGTATACGAGTCTACGGTCAGAAACACCGGGCGTATACGAGTCTACGGTCAGAAACACCGGGCGTATACGAGTCTACGGTCAGAAACACCGGGCGTATACGAGTCTACGGTCAGAAACACCGGGCGTATACGAGTCTACAGAAACACCGGGCGTATACGAGTCTACGGTCACAGACGCCGGGCGTATACGGTCATAAACACCGGGCGTATACGAGTCTACGGTCACAGACGCCGGGCGTATACGAGTCTACGGTCAGAAACACCGGGCGTATACGAGTCTACGGTCAGAAACACCGGGCGTATACGAGTCTACGGTCAGAAACACAGGGCGTATACGAGTCTACGGTCAGAAACACCAGGCGTATACGAGTCTACAGAAACACCGGGCGTATACGAGTCTACAGAAACACCGGGCGTATACGAGTCTACGGTCAGAAACACCGGGCGTATACGAGTCTACAGAAACACCGGGCGTATACGAGTCTACAGAAACACCGGGCGTATACGAGTCTACAGAAACACCGGGCGTATACGAGTCTACGGTCACAGACGCCGGGCGTATATACGAGTCTACGGTCACAGACGCCGGAGTCTACGGTCAGACTGTGGTCCACGAGCTCCTTCTGGTGGGTCTGGGAGCTTCAGTTTGTGGTCTGGACTTCCTTTGGATCACTTCTTGTTTTGAACTACACTGGAAATGTCGTAGTCCACGTTTAGACCTGGTTTAGGTCGGAAGTTGTCGTTGGAAACAAAACACAACTCCAGGTCTGTTTTTTGAGGAGGAAACAACATTATAACTAGTGATGTCGAGATGAAGCCTCATGAAGCACTGAAGAGTTCCATCCATTTACTCGACTCTTGAGCCGATGCTTCAACCTGCTTCATTTGCTCAACTGCGCCATCAAGTGGACAAAAAAAACTGTATAATAGGCAGAGTAACCATTATCACTCTGCCTCTTAGACAGATTGGACAGATTGTTGTATCCAAAATACTTGGAACACTTCACCTGACTTTTTTATTTTATGTTTTTACAAGAAATACATTAGACCAGGGGAAACACTGTGTTGTCAAATTTGTGTATTTAGTAATATTGTTTATTTAATGACGTCATTATTACCGTATTTTCTGCACTATTAGTCGCTCTGGATTATGCGGCGCACTGTCATTAAATGGTCTATTTTCTAACTTTTTTCACAAATAAACGGCGTGGGACTTTAAAGGAAACCCAACAGTGTGATGGGTGAGTGGTTTTGTTTGTTTGTTCGTTCACGGTGACTCTGGGCTTTGTTCAGTTGTGGCGTGTAGGGAGGGTGTGTCTGGGACCAGCGGATTGTCGGCGTGTTCACAGTGACTCAGTTGTTCGGTCGTGTCTAGAAGCGGCACGTTGCGCTCGCTTTTTCGGTTCGTTCCTCCGTTCCGTTCCTCGTCAAAAATAACCATAATCATGCACATTTAGGACACACACTGAACTCACCATTAACAGAACGGCCCCGTCAAACTGTTCGGCGATTTTGTCTGCGATCTTCAGAGCACACGGAGTCGGGCTGTGGAAGAAAGACGACGTTAAAGCTGCACTCTGGAACTTTTTAGACGGGGGTGCATCACCTGCTTGTTTTTTTTTGTTTTTTTTTGCATTGTTACACAACGAAGTTCGAAAACATGGTTAAAACTATGATACAAATTTATTAGTAGCAGTTGTAGTAGTAGTAGTAGTAGTAGTAATAGTAGTAGTAGTAGTAGTAGTAGAGGTAGTATTGGCAGTATTTGCAGTAGTAGTAGTAATATTTGGAGCAGTAGTAGCAGTAGCAGTAGCAGTAGTAGTAGCAGTAGTAGTAGTAGTGGTAGTATTGGCAGTAGTAGCAGTATTTGCAGTAGCAGTAGTAGCAGTAGTAATAGTAGTAGTATTTCTAGCAGTATTTGCAGTAGTAGTAGTACTATTTGCATTATTTGCAGTAGTAGCATTATTTGCAGTAGTAGTAGTAGTAGTATTTGCATTATTTGCAGTAGTAGTAGCAGTATTTGCAGTAGTAGTAGTAGTATTTGCATTATTTGCAGTAGTAGTAGTATTTGCAGTAGTAGTAGTATTTGCATTATTTGCAGTAGTAGTAGCAGTATTTGCAGTAGTAGTAGTATTTGCAGTAGTATTAGCAGTATTTGCAATAGTAGTAGTATTTGCAGTAGTATTAGCAGTATTTGCAGTAGTAGTAGTACTATTTGCATTATTTGCAGCAGTAGTAGTAGTATTTGCAGCAGTAGTAGTAGTATTTGCAGCAGTAGTAGTAGTATTTGCAGCAGTAGTAGTAGTATTTGCAGCAGTAGTAGTAGTAGTATTTGCAGCAGTAGTAGTAGTAGTATTTGCAGCAGTAGTAGTAGTATTTGCAGCAGTAGTAGTAGTATTTGCAGCAGTAGTAGTAGTATTTGCAGCAGTAGTAGTAGTATTTGCAGCAGTAGTAGTAGTAGTATTTGCAGCAGTAGTAGTAGTAGTATTTGCAGCAGTAGTAGTAGTATTTGCAGCAGTAGTAGTAGTAGTATTTGCAGCAGTAGTAGTAGTAGTAGTATTTGCAGCAGTAGTAGTAGTAGTATTTGCAGCAGTAGTAGTAGTAGTATTTTGCAGCAGTAGTAGTAGTATTTGCAGCAGTAGTATTTGCAGCAGTAGTAGTATTTGCAGCAGTAGTAGTAGTATTTGCAGCAGTAGTAGTAGTATTTGCAGCAGTAGTAGTATTTTGCAGCAGTAGTAGTATTTGCAGCAGTAGTAGTAGTAGTATTAGCAGTATTTGCAGTAGTAGTAGTACTAGCATTATTTGCAGCAGTAGTAGTAGTATTGCAGCAGTAGTAGTAGTATTTGCAGCAGTAGTAGTAGTATTTGCAGCAGTAGTAGTAGTAGTATTTGCAGCAGTAGTAGTAGTAGTATTTGCAGCAGCAGTAGTAGTAGTATTTGCAGCAGTAGTAGTAGTATTTGCAGCAGTAGTAGTAGTATTTGCAGCAGTAGTAGTAGTATTTGCAGCAGTAGTAGTAGTATTTGCAGCAGTAGTAGTAGTATTTGCAGCAGTAGTAGTAGTAGTATTTGCAGCAGTAGTAGTAGTAGTATTTGCAGCAGTAGTAGTAGTAGTATTTGCAGCAGTAGTAGTAGTAGTATTTGCAGTAGCAGTAGTAGTAGTAGTATTTGCAGCAGTAGTAGTAGTATTTGCAGCAGTAGTATAGTATTTGCAGCAGTAGTAGTAGTAGTATTTGCAGCAGTAGTAGTATTTGCAGCAGTAGTAGTATTTGCAGCAGTAGTAGTAGTATTTGCAGCAGTATTTGCAGCAGTAGTAGTATATTTGCAGCAGTAGTATTGCAGCAGTAGTAGTATTTGCAGCAGTAGTAGTAGTATTTGCAGCAGTAGTAGTATTTGCAGCAGTAGTAGTAGTATTTGCAGCAGTAGTAGTAGTAGTAGTAGTAGTATTTGCAGCAGTAGTAGTAGTATTTGCAGCAGTAGTAGTAGTATTTGCAGCAGTAGTAGTAGTAGTAGTATTTGCAGCAGTAGTAGTAGTAGTATTTGCAGCAGTAGTAGTAGTAGTATTTGCAGCAGTAGTAGTAGTAGTATTTGCAGCAGTAGTAGTAGTAGTATTTGCAGCAGTAGTAGTAGTAGTATTTGCAGCAGTAGTAGTAGTATTTGCAGCAGTAGTAGTAGTATTTGCAGCAGTAGTAGTAGTATTTGCAGCAGTAGTAGTATTTGCAGCAGTAGTAGTATTTGCAGCAGTAGTAGTAGTATTTGCAGCAGTAGTAGTAGTATTTGCAGCAGTAGTAGTAGTATTTGCAGCAGTAGTAGTATTTGCAGCAGTAGTAGTATTTGCAGCAGTAGTAGTAGTATTTGCAGCAGTAGTAGCAGTATTTGCAGAAGTAGTAGTACTATTTGCTTTATTTGCAGCAGTAGAAATATTTGCAGTATTTGTAGTAGTATTTGCAGTATTTGTAGTAGTATTTGCAGTATTTGTAGTAGTATTTGCAGTATTTGTAGTAGTATTTGCAGTATTTGTAGTAGTATTTGCAGTATTTGTAGTAGTATTTGCAGTATTTGTAGTAGTAGTAGAGTTAGTACCTGCTGTCAGACACACAGGCGTTGGCTTGATAATATCCCACAATCCTTTGCTGCGTCTGTGAACACCAAACGTCGACCTGAAACACAAGAACCCAGACAAGTGACTCTCTGCGTTTGACCCGACCTTCAGAGTGTCCGGGTCAAACAGCAGCACCCGGGATTTATGTCCAGATCATGAGACGGGATTTGACCAGGAGCAACGGACCCGAGGGAGATTCTAGCTCAAGTTTAACTCAAACTTCAACTGAGGAAAAAAATAAAAAATAAAAAAAATGCAATCTGTACTTCTACCACTAGGTGTCACCAAAGTCCTTATTTTGCAGTGACGTCTTGAATCAAAAAAGTTTATTATTATTATTATTATTGGCTTTAGGGCTACAAAACGAATTAAAGTCCTATCGCTTCGAGACATCGTGATTGACAAAATCTACAAAAAATCCAAACAAAAACAACAAATCAAACGCGATAAAACTCAATGCTTGTACAAATATAAAGTGTTCAGAGGTGATGTTTCTTTCTTTATTCTTCTTAAAAATAATGTCGTTCTTTCAGTTCGTGCTCGTTGTGTCGTCCTTCGATGCGGCTCCTCCAGTCGTGTCTTGGGACTTTCCTCCACGTCTCTTTGGATTTGTGAGCGGGATGTGGGAGTGAGGTAGCTGAGGTAGAGCAGCCTCACACTCACTTTGTCTTCTTCCTCCTTCTCCGACACTCTTCCCTTCTCCTCCTCAGCCGACAGACGTAAAGCGTGATGACACTATTCTCCAGCTGCTGCTTCTCAATTCTCATCAGAACCACCGCGGGAAAAGTTTGGATGGTGTTTGTGTCCGTGGAGCAACGACAAACCGAGACGACAGAAAAGCCGGGAGCAGCTGAAGTGTGTGTTTTCTTCCCAAAGACGTAAATCCGTTAGTGTCTCTGTCCAATTCCCCCCACCCCCAGACGCTCAGACACATTAAATAAAGACGATTTAACGAGTTTAACATCTAAACCTCAATTCAGAATTATTATTTCCATGTAAACTCTGTGACAAAACGAGCCTGTCGTCACATTTTAAATTCACATTAGTTTAATTTCACATTTCGTTAATTTATCAATATCCAAGTATACGGTTACTATTATTCTTAGTTTGGTTAATTTAATTCTTAATTCTTAGTTTGGTTAATTTAATTCTTAATTCTTAGTTTGGTTAATTTGTCTGGACCACGTGGGGACAGAACTGGTTTAATTTCTGTTTCATTATTTTTGTGTATTTGGTTTTATAATTGATTTTGAACATACTGTTTACTTTACGTTAAACATTGTGATTATTAAAGGAGACTTGGGCCCAGGAAAAGAAATCCTCGCTTTGCTTTGAAGAGAGACCTTGAACTGGTCCTGACCCGGGGGAGGCACTTCCTGTTGGGCGCCGTGTAAAAACACAGCAGGCGTCATCAGTTGGGAGAAACTTCTGAGCAGATTGTTTGGTGCTTTTGATTTGAGTCATTTATTTTCTGTTTATTTTCTACTTTCTTTTGTGTTAATTCCAGAAAATCCGTGTATCATTCGTTCATTTGTTTTTCAATATAAAACCAAAAATAAGAAAAGGAAAAAACAACAGTTTTCTTCATTATTTGTCTCCAAAACCAAAATGAAAAAAACAGATAATGATTTGTTTTTTCAGTTTTCAATTTTGTGTTTAAATGAAAAATGGAAAAAACAGATAACGGACGTTTCCCGTTTACGTGACTTCTGTGACTGTGATGCCGGACTTTTGCACCACATACGGACTGAACCAGGACTGATCCAGGTCCGGGACCAGACCAAGACTGACTGAGACCGGGACCAGACTAGGAGTGAGACCGAGACCAGAGCGAGACCCGAGACCAGAGCGAGACCAGAGCGAGACCAGAGCGAGACCAGAGACCAGAGCGAGACCAGAGCGAGACAGAGCGAGACCGAGACCGCGAGACCAGAGCGAGACCAGAGACCGAGACCAGAGCGAGACCAGAGCGGACCAGAGCGAGACCAGAGCGGGACCAGAGCGAGACCAGAGCGAGACCAGAGCGAGACCAGGGCGAGACCAGAGCGAGACCGAGACCAGAGGGACCAGAGCGACAGACAGAGGGCGAGACCAGAGCGGACTCTGAGCTTGGACTCAGAGCCTCCGCAGGGTTTGAGCCTCAGCTTTGAGCTCAGGCCCTGCTGTGGGCTCTGAGACTCTGGTCTGGTCTCAGTCCCGGTCTCAGTCCCGGTCTCAGTCCCGGTCTCAGTCCCGGTCTCAGTCCCGGTCTCAGTCTGGGTCTGGTCCTGGTCTGGTCTCGGTCCCGGCCGCCCGGTCTCGCTCCCGTCCCGGTCTCGGTCTCAGTTCTGATCTCAGTCCCAGTCTGGTCCCGGACCTGGATCAGTCCTGGTTCAGTTCAAAGACACTTTTTTGTTGTCGTCTGCCTCCTGCTTTGACCACGTCGGGCAGCTTCCCCACAAACTCCACGGAGAATATTTTAATTCCAAACTATTTAAATCACAAAAATTGATTCGGAATTAAAAATCATCATGTCAACGTGGTCTGTGCGTTAAACCGAAGGCTGGGTCAAACGCAGAGGGACTCCCGTGTTCACTGTACCTGCGTGAGGGCGAGCTGGGTGACGGGCGCCAGGGACAGGTGCGAGTGCAGGAGCGGCACGCAGTCGGTGACGCAGACGGCGCCCCCTGTGGAGCTGGAGGAGAGCAGCAGGCCGTTGACGCTGCAGCGAGGAAACAGCGCCGCGTGGAGGTACATCTTCACGTACGCCTGACAGGACAGCTCCACCTCCCCCATACTGACGCTCGACACGGGGCGCACTGCGGGGAAACACAAAAACATGTGTCAGATGCCCTCCCTTCTTCCTTCTGTAGCCCTGTAGTGTGTCAGATGCCCTCCCTTCTTCCTCCTGTAGCCCTGTAGTGTAGGGGTGTGCAAAAATATCGGAAAATCGATATATCGTATCGTTTCATGTGATGATACAGTATCGATATCATGGGCTACTGTATGGATATTTCACCAAGAGTATTTTTAGGTGTGTTTTACTAAATTATTTTGTTACAGAGCTACAGTTTTGTTGCTTGTGGAGTGAAAGGAAACTCATTTATTCAACACATTTGACATTTTTACTGTTTTGAGGATTAAAATGTTTGTGTTTCATATGAACTTTGTACAAGAAGAAGTAGTTTAACAAAGACTTTTAGTGTCACAGCCATGATTTTTTTATTGAACCGCATCGAATCGATTTGAAATATATCGAATCGAAAGTGCACTGTATCGAGATATGTATCGTATCGTGGCCTGTGTATCGAGGTATGTATCGTATCGGCAACTTATTAATGATACCCAGCCCTACTGTAGTGTGTCAGATGCCCTCCCGTCTTCCTCCTGTGCCCCTGTAGTGTGTCAGATGCCCTCCCAGACGTCGTGCTGCGGTTGGACAAATGCAGCAGGAGACTGGATTTGTCTCTAATAGAAATGATCAGGGAAAACATTTGTGGATTTGTGGACGTCCCAGTTTTGAGCCTGTGTCCCCTGTCCCAGCAGATTTATACAAATCCACTGATTCGTCCCAGTTTTTTTTTTTTTTCAAATTTACTTTATATTGAAAAAGCAGATTACACTTTGCAATGTACAAAAACTCAGAACAGGATGGAGAGTCAGGGAAACTCTTTCACAATTTAACAGAATATTGCAACTATGAAGCACTAGAAGTAGTAGTTGATCTAGTCCGGGACCTGGTCTAGGCTTTAGTCCGGGACCTGGTCTAGGCTTTAGTCCGGGACCTGGTCTAGGCTTTAGTCCGGGACCTGGTCTAGCCTTTAGTCCGGGACCTGGTCTAGCCTTTAGTCCGGGACCTGGTCTAGGCTTTAGTCTGGGACCTGGTCTAGTCTTTAGTCCGGGACCTGGTCTTGGTTTCTTGCAGTTTGTTTATCACAGTCATTAAGTAATTAAGATTAAATGATTATTATTTTTTTGAAGGCGAGATTTCAATATGTGGTTTATATAATGTTATAAAAATACAAATCAAGATCATATATTTATAAAAAAAAAAAAAAAAAAGAATCTTAATTTGTGTATCGAACGTAAACAACTGTTAGCATTAGCATATTAGCAACACTAAAATACGGAATTCAAACTTACCAGAAACAAGTTAAAGCACAAACTTCACCTCCACGTGTGGCCTGCGCCTGGATCTGTGTTTCAGGGCAGAAAAATGCGCTCGTTCATTGATGATTTATGATATTTTATGATATTTTATTTCAGAAATCGGCGCTGGGCCAACGGAGAAGCTCAACAGAACAGGAAACGGAAGTCCGGCCTACAGGTAAATGGAGACACGTGATTGGCTTTCTGAAAAGCGGACCAGATTTTGATTGGATAAATGCCACCTCATTCATTTATTCATTCAATCAACCTTCAGCCGTATTTGTGAGAGCGCTTTTAGCGGACTGGATGAAATTATTATTTTTTTTTTATTTAAATAAAAAAATAAAAAATAAATAAATACAATAAAAATAAAATAAAAATAATAAAATAAAAATAAATTAAATAATAAAAATACAAATAAATAAATGAATAAAACAAAACTAAAATAAAAATACAATTAAAAATATAGTCTTATTTAAAGCAAAATAACTCTTGTCCTATTGAAAATCATATTTGTAAACAAGTCAGTGTGCAATCATAGTAGTAGTAGTAGTAGTAGTAATAGTTTATTCGGTCATTTTGTAGCACTACAAAACAAAACAAAACAAAAAAACTACAACATAGCAAGATAAAACCTACTTAGTTCGGGGATTTCTTCACTTCTTTAACAAAAGTTGTTTGGAGTGTACTACTACTACTACTACTACTACTACCAATACAACACTGATTTGTAAGTTAAAAAAAAAAAAATCTCTTCTTGAATCAATCAAAACACCACAAAAATCAGCTGAAGGATCATCTTTTTACTCTGACATAATGACAACACGTATTAAAAGACATAATCTTACTTCACATGAGATGAGTAATACAAAAACTGGTAAGTAATAACAAAACTCTTTTTTACTAATATTGTACAAATGGAAAACCTGATGTTTTGAGTAAAATTTTTGGCAGTTATTAATTTTCCACCTCTGAATTCAATCTCATGGTTTACAGCAAAATATTAAGGCAACAATTTACAGTATAATAATTCTAATACATAAAACTGTTTGCATAAAAATACATCAGCATTAACAAACATATTCAATTTCTAAAAATATAAGATTTACAATTCAGATATAAAGACAATTCAATTCATTTAAAATACATAAAATGAGAAATACACACGGTAACATTCCAAAAACATTCCATTTTAAAGTCTAACATGATATCACAAGTGCTGAAGAAGGGCTGAGGTATTAACTCCAGGCATGGATCCTCACATTGTAAAAACCGTTACATTAAAGCATTAAAGAAAGAGAAGTAGGAAATTTGTAAAAAAAACAAAACAAAACAAAAACAACTACCAACCAAAAAAAAAAGTAGGTAGAAGAGTTTAACCTTCAAGTAAATTGCTAGCCTGAACAGCCGGAGTTGGTCTAGAACCGTATCCTGCCCTCGATGATTTCAGTCGGGCATCATTGGGCGGATTAACCAGACATTAAAAGATGGAATGATGATATAAGAACAAAAAATATCTCAGATGCTGTTGCCTTAAAATAAAGTTTGTTAGAAATCATTTTTTAATCAGGTGATGCCCAGCAGGGGGGAGGAGCACCAGACTGGGTTTCTCTGTAGGATAAAGTTTTTCTGGCTACACAGGCTAGTAAAGTGCAAGAGATAGAAATGTTTCATCTTATTTCCAATAAAAAGTATCTTGAAAAAGACATAAAAATAGAAAAAAATAAATACAAATTTGGTCTAAATGTACCGTATAAAAGCTTGAGCTCGTCACGATGTGCTTTTTCATAAGCATTCTGTTTTCTGGTATCAAAACTAAAATCCTCTGATACCAGGGATTGGCATCTCATCATAAACTCGTCTCTGCTTCCGTGGGCACAGAGATATACGCGTGGTTCAAGCCGTTTCCATGACGATGCCCATTCGCATGTTGACTGGATGCAGTAACATCATTATTTATTGGTTCACCAACATCCAGTCCATTCTGAAAAACATGAATAACAAAACTAGTCTCATATGCAGACGTTTCTGTGCAAAAGTGCAGCTGTTTTCACCCTGTGTTTGATTTTCTTTAAGCTCCCACTTGGACCTCGGATTTAACATCACATCCGAATTTGAAGTGTATTATTACGTTTCACGTGTCAGACTCAGAGAGCCTCACCACAACACTGACTCTCAAACCCACAGGCAGTGAAATGGACATGGTAAAGTACTGCAGTAAAGTAAGGCAGCGATACAGACGCGGTAAAGTACTACAGCGATACAGACGCGGTAAAGTACTGCAGCGATACAGACGCGGTAAAGTACTGCAGCGATACAGACGCGGTAAAGTACTGCAGCGATACAGACGCGGTAAAGTACTGCAGCGATACAGACGCGGTAAAGTACTGCAGCGATACAGACGCGGTAAAGTACTGCAGCGATACAGACGCGGTAAAGTACTACAGCGATACAGACGCGGTAAAGTACTACAGCGATACAGACGCGGTAAAGTACTACAGCGATACAGACGCGGTAAAGTACTACAGCGATACAGACGCAGTAAAGTACTGCAGCGATACAGACGCAGTAAAGTACTACAGCGATACAGACGCAGTAAAGTACTACAGCGATACAGACGCAGTAAAGTACTGCAGTGATACAGACAGGGTATTGACACGTAAATATGAAGTGTTTTCATTGGACACTTTGGTGTTTAAATGACAGTTTCAGTCACTCGTATCACTGCCTGTGGGTTTGGTAGTCGTGTTGTGGTGAGGCTCTCCAAGTCTGACACGTGAAACATAATACGATTCAAGCTCGGACGTGACGTCAAAACCGAGGTCCAAGTGGGAGATTGAAAGATAGTCGAACGCAGGGTGAGTTTTAGAGGAGTTTCAGTGTAGTTAGCTCCTCCTTCAGGCAGATATAAGGCAGAATCCACCATTGTCTGACCACAACTGAAGAAGCAGCTTCGATGAGCTGCGAAATGTTTTAACTCTAAAAAAAACTTTTGTCCTCTGTACAGAGAACATCCAGTTATACTTGTACTATCTACTAGCAAATCTGTACTATCCCCATAAAAAGATAGACTCACCGTGTGGGAGGGAGTTCCACTTTGCAGTACTTTCTGAAGCATATCTGTGATTATCTGGATAATCTTTGAAAAAAAAAAATTAAAAAAATCAAATAATATAATACTGTAGAATCCAACACTTGTCCCAATGTTGCAGAAGTGTCTGTTTTTTTGCATTTTGTACCTTCTTATATATGGAGTAGATAAAGATAAAGATAAACACTGGGATCAGAATCAGTATCCAGAGGTAATCGAGGTTAGATCCGCCCTCTTCAACTGCAAAAACAACTTTCAAATAAAGAAAAATCATGTCAGTTTGAAAAGGTACAGCATCAGAATGTGTTAAGAGACATATTATACTCGAGTCTGCTCTGTGTTCCCCTTGAACTGCACTGAGACTTTTGACCGAGACACAAAGGCAACTGAGACGCGCAGTGGGAAGTTTGCTGCAGCAAAACTTGAATTTCCCTCAGAATCAATAAAGAATCTCTTTGTCTCTCTTCCTCTCCCTCTAGTTCTAATCTATGACATCCATGGATCATTATGTTACAATTATAAATCAGAATATTGTTCAATTTAAACATGATGATAGTTTTAAAATGTGGCACAGAGCATTTTGAGCTTTGGAGATTGTACTTGAACATGTGAATGAAACGAAACAAAACTCCAGGAATGTTTTGTAGGAGGTGACAACATTAGAACATGAGTAAAAGCTCCTCCTGTGAGCTTTGTGTAATATAGGACCTTTAATGTCGCTGTATGTTCATACCTGCTCTCTTATAGTTACTCTGTGCTCTGGTTGTGTTCGCTCGCCACCAGTTCAGGGTGCTGATGTTGCAGGTGTAGTTACTTGCAGAGGTGGCTGGGACAGAGAAGGAGCTGGAGACAGAGTAAAGTCCATCCTCTGAGACATTCACTGAGGTCTGAGGCTCTGGGCCAAGAGAAGGAGGGCTCCAGGACACTGAGGGTTTGGGGTAGACTCCCTCAGATCTACAGAGGAGCTCCTGCCCCTGCTGCTGCAGAGACACTGGAGCTGGAGCTACAGAGAGACGCTTCACTGTCAAACCACATTTACACTCTTACATATGTTATTATCAAAATAATACTCATTATTTACCACAAACAAACACATCCACATAAGAGTCTGTGTTGGGTTTGTTGACACCATTGGCGTAACACTTGTATTTTCCTTCATCCTGAACTTTGACCCTTGAGAGCCGCAGTGATGCGTTTCCTGTGGACAGTTCCTTCTCAAACAGAGAGGTCCGACCTCTAAAGTTCTGGAGTGGGATATGAAGCTGACTCTGACCTTTATAGTAAATATGAACTGGAGTTTTATCATGAGGTTCTTTGGTCCAGTGGATCACAGGGTCTGGTCCAGGCTCAAATCTGCAGGGCAGAACACAGGTCTCCAGAAGAACACAGGAGACAGCAGCGTCTGAGGGAGAAGACAGATTTAAATAGTTTTGAAAACAGTGTTGGTGTCAGTGGGACGACCCACACGTGGTTTAGGTTTTCCCTTTTTGTTACTGCATTTTTCTTTAAAAAGTCTAATCCATTGGTGAATAATTTTGTCGACATTACAGTTGGTATAAACTGTGACGTCTGAAATGTAATGAGTAAATGATCTGGGTTCTTTGTAAGTTACTGGAAATTCATATTTTAAAAGAAAATTCTCAAAAATTCAAATGTTCCAATTTTCTCGAGTAAATTAGAAACAAAGATTAAATCCTTATTGACCAAATTTGAAGTGAAAAAGACTTTTTCTCATTCAAAACACAGTCATTGTTAAATAATGTTCAGGTTTGTAACAGTTTCCAGGCAGTAAGAGTTTGTTGATGAAAATCTGATTTGTTTTGCTGATTGATATTGTAGAATGTAAATACTGTATCAGATATTTACTTTTCTATTTTAATCTTTAATCAGTCATTTCTAACCAGTGTCGTCTCTGTTATAAGATTAAAACAATGAGTCTAATTTCATTATGTCAATCTAAAGTCCAGGTTGTTTTTAGACAAAGAGGAGTCACCACAGTCTCTGTACTAAAGGGAAACACTGAAATAACTTACAGTTTTTGTCGTTCCTTCACTCTATGTGTTTTTCTTAATTGT